GAATACAAGACTTATCTAGAGGTTTTCATACCCGTAGAATTCAATAAAAGCATTTTCAAATCTATGTGACGTCATTTTTGTACTGTTTTCTGATTGGACGATGTCAGTTTTCATTGTAATACCAGGGAACAGTGAAATTACAAATTAATTTTGAATTGTTTAAGGAGGTTTGGGACAAAAGAACTTCTGTGGAAAACTTTTTGTATTTTCCATGACGTCATCAAAATACATTTTTCTGATTGGACGGGGCCAAAAGTGGCATAGGCCAACATTAAAATTTCTATTCTTAATCTTAAACTGAATATAAATCAAATCAAAATTCATAATAATTCCAGACAACCTAATTTTACATTTTTTAAATGTAAAATGTGTTTGCATCTGAGATTCCATGGAATTATCAGACATTGCCTACACCAATGTCATGATAATGATAATCATATATTGTCATATAATTCCGTCCCCAATCGTATTAGGCCTATATTGTAAAATTCTCAGTGCAGTATGAACAAGGAGGCTTTGAAGAGGAACTTTTGCTGTCCTCTTTGACAGGTATACTGTACCACCAGGATAGCAATGCTTTTTTGCTACTCTTTATTTTGGTGTAAGGAGGAGTCTCATTTTACTATCGAGCTACAAAGATGGACAATGTTTCATCTGTCGTGAACGATTCCGGTTTGCGCCTCAGGGGTGACGCCAGCAGGGGGAATGGGGCAGGGTCCCGTCGAGGATAGGTCCCCGTCGAGGAAAGCTTCCCCTCCCCCCACCCCGGCGTTGGGGAGATAAACTACAATTCGTCAGGGAGAAATAAAATGTGTATGTATTTTCTACATATTAGTAGACTCTAAAATCGATTCTTCTTGAATACCCCTTGCAATGCTGCATAAAGAAGTTCAGTGCGTACATTTTATGTCAACATCTCTTGTACTTTTTTACCCTTGTGCGAACTCTCTGAAAAGATCCCCCCATACTTCGATAGGACGTCCCGGTTTGGGTCTGTTTTAAGTCTGTGTCAAAACATTAATAACTTCATCAGAAAATGGAATCCTGTTGTCAAGCCACGAGTTATTTTCTTTAGAAACCCGGAAAACACGTGTTTACGTTCTTATAACGTTATTAGCGCATGTTGTGGTTAGGTATGTCACAAAATAACGTTTACACAACGTTGTAGGAACGTGCAAACGTTGTGAAATTATGTTCAGTATGTATTTATGGTTCTACAAAATAAAGTTTTCAAAACAAAACTGTAACGTTATTGTCACGTTAGCATAACGTATTATTGTTTGCTGGGAAGGTCGTTAGTACTCGCGTAGTAGCTCACCTCTCCTTAAGTTGAAACAGGAAGCTTTTCAAAGTCTTGGATGTGTTTGAATAAAGTTAAAAATCAATTGACGCCTAGATATAGGCCTGCTTGTAGATATCATCTTCATTATGATATATGATATTTGGATTATTAGACTGCTCAAAATTTAATAAAGTATTCTAAACAGCAACAAAATATTACAAGATTTGCTACTGTTAAATCACGAGCAGTTTGTCAATTTTTGAAGTGCTTTTCCCACGCTTTGCATGAACTGGTTGAGTAGATGCGCGTGCATCCCTCTGATTTGAGGTTTGCTCTAATTAAATTGTGTCTCAAATGTTCGAAAACAAGACTGATAAAAGTGCGTCTAGCTCGCAAAGTTGCAAAAAGTAGCAGCTAAATTCGGTACCATCATAAAGCTAAGGCTATACTGAAGATGGTGATGTAAAAATTAAAGCATGAATCCACATGAATCTAAACTTTCTCTCCTACTTTTCTAAAAATAGATTTTTAAATATTTTTTCTGTCGTTTAAACAACGATTTATTATTGATGCAAACTTCAAATTTAAACCAAAACATATATTTGTGTTCCCCAATTTATATACAAGAAACCTGTGCATCTTGATGTAATTCCGAATTTTCTGTAAGAAAAAAAAAAACGTGTTTAGATATAATGTAGTCAATTATAGCATTTGAAATATTTATAAAGAAATTTCCGACATTTGTTGAAAAATACTACCCTTAAAATTCGTTTAAATGTAAAATATTTTCAGGATAGATTCACCAGGGTATACCCATCTTCAATCATGTGAAAAAAGTGTAAAAGCCATAGTCACCAAAATGGACTTTTGGCACACTTTGATTTCACCCTGGCCCACTGTGCGGCGGTGTTAGTAACACGGAATAATACGGGAAAGATAAGCCTTTATGATTGTTGTATGGTGGTAATAGTATGATGAAAAAAAATATGTCAGCCAAAGTATTAATGGTATTATGGTCCCTATAAGCCAAAGATAGTAACAGAAGAAATGACTTGAATTACACATTTTCAAAAGGCGTTAAAGGCTTATTGCGAGTTAATTACTAATGATGACGTGAATGAACTCGTCCGAAAATATATCTTACTTTAATGATCCTTATATTGCACGAACAAAGGTTCGCAAACATAAATGGATTATTAATAGTACAGTATGTTTCTAGCTGCGGATATTACAACCTTATTAAAGACGCGACACTAGAAAATAAGCGCGTTGTACAACGATAATACTATGCGTTTCTATGGTCACAGAAATTCTTAAATTTATCTGTTATGTCTTCATTTTTTATTTGAAAACACAACCAATCAAATGGGCATTCCATCAAACATAATGTAGAGACCGGGCACAGAATGGAATCTTTAACACAGAAAATATGACTTGGAAAATTCACTGAAAACAACATTCAATTTTAATTGAATTGAATTACCGGTACTTGTGTGGTGTGGGTGTCTATTTTTTTTCGAGTCAAAGCAAGTATAATACTAATTATTATTTCACACTGATATTATTATAATTAAGTATTATCACTATCAGGCCTAATGATTGATGCTAGAAATCTATAATATTCACCAACAAGCTTTCGCGGTCCAGTAGTGAATTAGATAAGTAGTTCTAGGTCTATTCGTAGAAGTAGTAGTATAGTAGTAGTAGTAGTATTAGTAGTTGTAGCAGTAGTATATAAATTATATATATATATATATATATATATATATATATATATATTTACATCTTACATATATTTACATCTTACATATATTTACATCTTATTTAAAAAAAAAAGTCTGGTATACAGTAATCAGTAGCCTGTAAAAGTCCATTGATAATAACATTCAAGTTAATAATTTGTATGAAAATCTTTTTGTCACTTTCTGGGAAAATATGTCTTTTAAGACTACAATAATAATAAACAATATGTAAGTATGACCGCTGGACCGACTTCTAATTGACCCCGACTTCACTCTCGTATGGTCGACTAGAGGTATTTTTACAATCATTCATTTTGGTATATTTTGGTATATAAATATATACAGTATACAGTATTGATTGTATAATGTTTAGATATGTAAAATTTTAATGTGAAGGAAATATTACTTATTTAGAATAATTGATAATAAATAATTAATAGAATAAAAGAAAGAATAAGGGATATAAATATGTCAATAGTAACAAAACAATAGTTTTGCTCAAAGAAATGAATGAAAAAATAAAATATGTATATATATAGTATATATATATTATATATAAGCTTGTTAGTTTATATATATATATATATATATATATTATATTATATATATATTATACTGTACAATAAACTGATAAAGATGAATTAATATAAGAAAAAAACAGGAAAAAAGAAATGAGTGAAATAAATGGAGAAAAAAATAGTCTTATTTCATGTAGCCTACTAATCTAATTTTTTTACAGAAATATACAAAATGGATTATAACAACAAGAACAGACTCAAAGGGCATTTTCCGTCAATAAATGATACAGGTGAGACATGTTAGGTTATAGTATACTCTGCTGCATTACTTTCTTCATCACTCTCCCCCCCCCACCCGTAAACTTCGACGTTTTGACAAGTGAGGGATGTCATTATTTCAAAAATAGACAATGCAATATTTCTTAATGCCAAGTTATCAAAACAGTCTTATAATAATAATAAAAACAAATAGGTTTAAGTAGGTAATGACTATGTTTTTCCTTCTTGAACCACACGCAATTCCACATTATCATAACAATTAAATTAAACAAGGAAAAGGAACATTTTAGACGCACAGCTTATAAACTGAAACAACAAAAACAAAAAAACATTTCACAAATAATGATGAAAAAAGGCAGGGTATTAAGTTACGGTGCGGCAAAAAGACAAGTGTCAAGTTTGGGCGGTAACAAAAGGTCAGGCGTCAAAAACCAGACAACGGGCCAGATGGCAAGAGGTAGACCTGTTTTGTTTCTAGATTTCCTTGAAGTTAAATATTTTATTGTCAATACCTGAGTAAGGGTAATAGGATAGATATTAAGTCTTGTCGAATGTAATTTTAATTTTAATTTCAATGCTTTTATGTTTTGTTTTGTGACTTTTCTACATTGTATTGTTTGGCAATTTTAATTACTTGTATGTATTTATTTTCTTTTAATTACTTTAGTTTTGGATGCACCATTATTGTAATGGGTGCCACTGTTGCAAAAGCGTTTTCTAAATAAATAAATAAATAAAAAGGATAGTCGCCTATCACTTTAATTATAAACAATCAGGAAGACTTTAACAAGGTGTACTATGGCTACCTATTGTGGAAAGCAATAGGTCTTGCAACAATTAATTATACATGCTCTGTTTGGTTTTGTAACAGCAAATGTTCTATTGAAAAGCTTGAAAACATACAATATAGAATGGCGAGAATTGGATACTAAAGGCTCCAAGAAATGTAGCAAAAGAAGCTCTTCTTGGTGATTTAGGATGGGAATCTATTGTTCGCACATAAAACAGATTTAGAATGAATTATTTCAATAGGCTAAAAAATATGGATGATAGTAGATGGCAAAAACTACTTTGTAAATATATAACGGAGGTCGGACATAATGTCAAATGGAAATGGATTACCCACATACAAGAGTTACTACAGAAATTTGATCTAATTGAGAATTTTAATTTAGAACAAGATAGCTCCTGGCTATATTCATTTATTAAGAAAAATGCGTATGACAATGCTAAATTATGGTACGAAAGGGCAAAATCAAAATCAACCTTATCTGATTATGTGAAATATAAAAGTAAACCGAAATCTGAGTACTGTATTATCTATTCTAAGGTAAATTTTCTCGGTTGGTCTAAAATTTAAAATAAGGACTAATTCATTAGCTCTTGAAGGTAGAAAGTAAAGTTAGTTTAACACATGCTCAGGTTATTGTCAACTTTGTGACTATGATACTGTTACAAGTAAACTGATCATTTTCTTTTTTTTAATGTAAAATTTTTAATTCTTTTAGAGAAAAACACTTTCTTAACCTTAAAGAAGAGCTGTTATATTATGGATACCAATCTTGTTGGGATAATTTCGTAAATGGTGCTATTGAGTTTAAGCATCATATTTTGCTTGACGATCTCTATACAGCATTCCCTAATGAAAGATTAAGAGGAATTGTAGATCGTCACTGCAAACAATATCTGGTTGCTTTATGGAGAGCTAGAACAAATACATTAATTACATTACCGCTCCATAATTAAAATGTTATCTTTTATTATACATTTATTATTTTTCTATTGTATAGTTATTAGCAATTTTTCATTGATACATGGTGCTAATTTTGACACTTGTTTATCTTTCATTATATAATTATAAATATATTCTTAATTGTTGCTTTTGTTTGATAAAGGCTGTGATGTTTCATCGGTCTGTTTGAATCTTTATCTATTATGTTAGTTAATTTAATCGCGGTCTTTTTGTTTTTAGTTAAGTTCATTTTATATCTAAATTATGTTTTTTATTTTAATTTTTTTTGTTGTATTATTATTTTATTTTGTTGAACTCTGTCTGATACCGTAGTGCTTTTGAATATCATATAGAGGTATTTTCGTTTTCAGCGTCCATATCCACGAACAGCGCCGATTATCCGTTCTAGCAGAGAACACATAGCCGATGCTGTTTTGTGTGTTCTCCAAAGTATTTCACTCAATCAATCAATCAATCAATTTATTAAGAATAACACCTTAAGATAGGTGGCACACATAACAATAATAGTAGTGCATTCAAGTTAACAATTTTTACAGACAGTGAGGTAAATTAAAAGTAGGCGTATAAAGAAACACAATTAAAAATAATATGTTTAACTTAATGCTAAACAAAACCGAGAAAATTAATTAAAGTAATTGATAAAAATTCAAACAGGCCAATAAAAAACAAAAACCAGTATATCAAACAAAAGCAACATATAAAATAAATTTAGAATTAAATATGAAAGACAAACAAAAGTCAAAAGTGGTACCATGTCAATGAAAAATTGCTTATTAAGATACATTATTTATGGAATTATGGAGAAGGATTAAAATTGATATATTTCGGACAATCAGAATGAACAATTATAAGATCTTGTAGTATATAATAATGAGATCGGTGGCATACACAAAAAAAAAAAAAAAAAAAAAAAAAATTGAAGAAAAAAAGCGGTGCATCCAAATTAACCATTATTACAGACAATGAAGTAAACTTTAAAAGGGGATGCCCCGGGATCTTAGACACAGCTGTCTGTCCATATTGTAATAGTGAACGAACGAATGGTCTTCCATAAAATGTGAAAGCACCACAATCGGTGATGTCACAAGACTGCTCAGGATGCGTTTTGACAATGTCAAAGGAAACACATTGAAACCTTAGAAACTAACTTCCATGAAGCGGTCAGTGTTACAGGTATCAAATATTTAAGTGCTAAACAAAATTACGCTGCTCGTATTATTCGTATCGGAGACAACTCAATATTAATAATTTAATTTACTTATATAACAATGAGGTCATATCGACCTTCTGCACACGCCATTGATTGTTTTTTATTAGCCTGCAAACAGAAAATCATATTTGAACATGCACCATATATATATTTGAATTCAGTAAAGCCTGTTGCAAACGTACGTTGTTAATTTTTTTTTGTCAAACGCTTGTTAAAGTGTTACGGGATATTGAACGTGGGCATTGGTGCTTTACTTGTATATTGCTGGATTAATTTTAATTTGGCCATATATTCTACAACAAGGTGACTGAAGATATTAAAATGAGAGTATCAAAAGCGAATCTTTTGGATTAGATGTCTTAGGCCGTACACTCTTCGGAACACAGTAGAAGATTGTCTCCCTGTGTACTGCCAATCACCACCAGGAGGATCCTAAACCGGAAATAAGTCTTCATATCTTCATAAGTCTTCGTATTATTGATATTCACACCGAATAATTATTCAATCCAATCCAATCTAATGAAATTTAACACCATTTACAAATAGAACAACTGTAGTATTCTGCTTTCAAGTCTATAACATAACACAAACACTGATCAGTTCGTGAATAAATAATTTGAAGAAAAAATCTAATATCTTGTCTTGTTATATAGACCTTAGATGCAAGAGAAGAGAAGGAGAGACGCAGAAGGAAGAAACAACGAGCTGCAGAAAGGTCACAGGTAGATAAACTTCTGAAAGAAATACAAATAATGCAAGAAGAGGAAGTTGTTATGCCTATCCAAAAGCACACACCGTATGAGGTAGGAAGCTGTTAACATTCGTCCAGGCATATATTAAAATTAAATTATACTTAAATCAGGAAATAAAATTGTGCATTTAGGCCTATATAATTGTGCACACAGATCGATGCAATTGAACTAATGCGAAGTAAAAATTAATTCAAAGGCAATACGTGTAACGACAATTTATTTTGAATTAATTGTAAAAATCGTTTAAATAATGTACTATTTTATCTTATATGTTTTTACATATGTTATCAAAATAAATTTACAACTAATTATCATTCATGCATGTACTTAAATTCCTGTCTCTTATACACATCTAGATGTGTATAAGAGACAGCACATTGAAACCTTAGAAACTAACTTCCATGAAGAGGTCAGTGTTACAGGTATCAAATATTTACGCCTAATTAAGTGCTAAACAAAATACGCTGCTCGTATTATTCGTATCGGAGACAACTCAATATTAATAAGTTAATTTACTTATTTAACAATAAGGTCATATCGACCTTCTGCACACGCCATTGATTGTTTTTTATTAGCCTGCAAACAGAAAATCATATTTGAACATGCACCATATATATATATTTGAATTCAGTAAAGCCTGTTGCAAACGTACGTTGTTAATTTTTTTTGTCAAACGCTTGTTAAAGTGTTACGGGATATTGAACGTGGGCATTGGTGCTTTACTTGTATATTGCTGAATTAATTTTAATTTGGCCATATATTCTACAACAAGGTGACTGAAGATAATTTTTGTGAATTACTATAGGTAAACTATTTTGGCCAATGTCTTACCACAAGAACAGGGTAAGAAGATCATCGGCCTTCGCAAGTGGACGATATTCTAGTTTAGTACCCGCCGTACTAGAAAAACAAGAGCAGAAGGTATGTGGACTGTAGTTAACATCAATGCCAATATAGAAATGTTGTCCTTCAGCCATTAATATTCAAGATTCTACATTAATTCACACAAAATACATAATACCGAAAGTTTTTGTCGATTACACGTCTGATATCAAACACCTAAAATTCTGGCAGTAACATTGGATAAAGGATATACACAGATATATACATACACACATATTATATATATGTATATATATATACATATATATATATATATATATATATATATATACATATACATATATATGTATATATATATATTTCCTATTTTTTTGCACTGTTTCTTTCTGGCCGTCACTTTGGTCACTTTCCATGCTTAGATTTTTTCCGTACTTTGCCGAAGCATAGGCCATATATCAAGGATGTGCCTCCTAATATTTAGTGTCAATCTATGGTGGGGGTGTGCGTATAAGGACCAATTAAATTGATTTAAGGTCAAATAGTCTACACAGGATATTTAAAAAAACGGTCAGTTGATGTGACTAAAACTTACGGAAAAGTTTAATCAAGTTACAAGGAAGAAAAGTTTGTGTTTGTGACGACCCAGTGAATGGTGTAAATCTGAGGGTCTTTTCAATTTTGAGGACCCAGACCTAAAAAAAAAACAATTTGTCTAAATGAAACAGTCTATAATACTTTGTATAGGTCTTGTAAAAATATGATAAACATTTTTGTGACGATCCGCAGTATGGTGTGCATCTGAGGACCATTTAAAGGAAAACGTCCCAGACCATATATTTTAAACACGGATCAACTGATCCGAATGAAACATTGGAAAAATTTAACCAAGTTACAAGGAAGAAATTATTATGTGCTGGCGACAAATCAGTCAAGGGTGTAAATGTGAGGGTCATTTCAATTTTTGAGGACCCAGACCTAAATATCTCTTTAAAAAACTCAATGGGTATAATTTAAACCTTGTATAACAGTTTGTCAAGGTCGAGTAAAGAAATGATTAAATTTTTGTAACGATCCGGAGTAGGGTGTAGATCTGAGGACCACTGAAAGGAAAACGTCCCAGACCACATATTTCGAAAATGGATCAACTGATCTTGAATGAAACATTCAGAAAAAGTTTACCAAGTTACAAGGAAGATAGTATTATGTGTTGGCGACGAATCAGTCAAGGGTGTAAACTGGAGGGTTATTTAATTTTTTGAGATCCCTGACATAAATATCTATAAAAAGTTTTCAATGGATGTAAATGAAACTTTCTATAATAATTTGTAAAAGTCCAGTAAAGAAATGATTGAATGTTTGTGATGATCCGGCGTAGGGTGTGAATATGAGGACCATTTAAACGAAAACGTCCCAGACCAGATATTTCAAAAACGGGTCAACTGATCCAATTGAAACTTTCGGGAAAGTTTAACCCAAGTTACAAGGAAGATATTTGTTATGTGTAGGGGACGATCCAGATTAGGGTGTAAATTTGAGGGTCTTTTAAATTGCTTACGTCCCAGTTATAGAGAGATAAAAATGACACTTTGCAGAATAGTTTTTCATGGTGAAATGAAGAAATGATCCAATTTTGGTGACGATCCGCAGTAGGGTGTGGATATGAGGGCCATTTAAATATTTTTTGTTGACAGTTGGTTAAATTATTTAAACGCAATTTGCGTTTTCTAAAGCGCTTAAACCAGTTACAGCTAGGTTAAACTCAAAACTACCGTGATATGCATGAACAATAATTTGCTTTCAGTCATTGAATCGCTATGAACAGAAAATGAACTCTCATATACAATGTCGGCTTATATGGCCCGCAATGGTTATGAGTCACGATGTACCTCGCTATTACCATTGCAGCCATAGTTAAAGTCTCACTAATAACGTCGCAGTGAACTTGGTTTTCGTTTTGTTTTCTACTTTATTTTTTCCCACTTCATTAAAATTATATTGGTTTTCGTGTTTTTTTTACTTTATACCTTTTAACGACTTTTCTCAGTTTTTGTTGCAATTTCAACTTCATTTCTCATTAAAGTAATGGGGAAAAGCCCTATGTTCTTTTGTTTAAACATATTAAGTTTCTTATTGCCATTTTACTTGCTCTCTATTGAATTCTATGCTTTCTTCGTGCTTTATAAGATTTCTACCATACACAATGCGAAGTTGGCTTAACTTGTGGTAGCCACTGTATACGCGCTGAAGCGTGGCGACACTTTGGTACCCAGTTCAATTCCATCCGCTGGTCTCCTTGTGTTTCAGCTAACAGTGGACTAAAATGAGAGTATCAAAAGCGAATCTTTTGGATTAGATGTCTTAGGCCGTACACTCTTCGGAACACAGTAGGAGACTGTCTCCCTGTGTACTGCCAATCACCACCAGGAGGATCCTAAACCGGAAATAAGTCTTCATATCTTCATAAGTCTTCGTATTATTGATATTCACACCGAATAATTATTCAATCCAATCCAATCTAATGAAAGTTAACACCATTTACAAATAGAACAACTGTAGTATTCTGCTTTCAAGTCTATAACATAACACAAACACTGATCAGTTCGTGAATAAATAATTTGAAGAAAAAATCTAATATCTTGTCTTGTTATATAGACCTTAGATGCAAGAGAAGAGAAGGAGAGACGCAGAAGGAAGAAACAACGAGCTGCAGAAAGGTCACAGGTAGATAAACTTCTGAAAGAAATACAAATAATGCAAGAAGAGGAAGTTGTTATGCCTATCCAAAAGCACACACCGTATGAGGTAGGAAGCTGTTAACATTCGTCCAGGCATATATTGAAATTAAATTATACTTAAATCAGGAAATAAAATTGTGCATTTAGGCCTATATAATTGTGCACACAGATCGATGCAATTGAACTAATGCGAAGTAAAAATTAATTCAAAGGCAATACGTGTAACGACAATTTATTTTGAATTAATTGTAAAAATCGTTTAAATAATGTACTATTTTATCTTATATGTTTTTACATATGTTATCAAAATAAATTTACAACTAATTATCATTCATGCATGTACTTAAATACCTGTCTTTGGTATAGTATTATTTACAGTACTTTAAAAATATCTAAATAGCCACAGTTGATTTTGATTAATGTCAGAAAAACATTAACAAGACGTTGCAGCTACGTCATTGAGTCAGAAATTACTATGCTTATTGCTACCAATGTACAAAAGGTACATCATTATAATGTAATGTGCGGTTTGGCGCAGTGGAAATTGTTTGGTTTCTCAAATTTGAGGTCGGGGTTGCAATCCTTCGCTGTGCATTTCGCTTGCGTCTTTGAGCAAGGCACTTCATTACTCATTCTACCCAGCTGTATCAATGGGTTCCAGCGAATTGATGGGAGTAACCTGCGATGGACCAGCATCCCACCCAGGGGGCGCATCACACACTCATCCGCTTCACGCTAATTGAAATTGGGGATAAGCTCCAGACCCTATGAGCCCCGTCGCTCGGCAAAGATTTAGTTATATTATTATTATTATTATTATTATTATTATTATTATTATTATTATTATTATTAT